AGGAAGGGTGCCTCATCTGTTGAGTGTATAGCAAAACTCTGCCAGGGTAAATTTTGCAAAAAATTGAAAAAAATTGTCAAACTGGGCTGATTTTTTTTTGTGTCAAAGAATATGGTTGCCCTAAAGAATAATTTTTTTCCAGCTTGATTAGACGCCATCTTCATTTTCATTCCAAGAACTTTTGTTAGAACCCTCGTATATGCTCGTATACGCAACGATGCTGCAATGATAGAGTTCCATTTTTTTTAAAGTTGCGAATATATACCAGGTTTTAGAGACAAGAATAGGATTGCGGTTAATGCTGCTCGGAAATCTATCTACAAGATCAGATAATCTTTTCTTCGCGAACCTTTCCCCCTTTATTCGATTTTTCAATTTTTACTTTTTTTGTTCCTTTTTTTTCTTTGAATTTTACGTTTTTTTTTATTTTTACGTTATTTTAATTGTTATTCAATTACTTGTTAAATTCAATTTTCGTCACTCAGAAATAAGAAGAAAAAATTTTCCAACCATCAGTTTTTTATTTTTGGGGGAAATTGTACAATGGGGATTTTTATTATCAGGGATTTCAACAAAAAGCGGGGAAATTAAAATCGGGGAAAATAACACTCGGGGATATTAAAAATCAGGCATTTTAATTTCAGGGATTTTTGTGACCGGGGATTTTAAAATTGGGAGGATTAGAATCGGGAGGATTTTCCTACACCCAGATTCGCAGGGAAAGTCTTTTCGCGAGGTTTTTCAGAAATGTATACTCATTGAAGTTTTTTACAACTCAATAAAATGGTTGTTACTCCGACGATGGATTCTTTTTATGCAAGGTTTTGACTAGTTCAGAACACGTACCATTCACGGTAATTTTTTCCAAACTTAAATTTTGAAAACAGATTTTTCCTTGTCGGAGGGGTGCTTATATTTTGAAGTTGACGTCTTCGTGTACAGTATTTGCAATGCATTGTAGATATTTGGTTGCCTTTAAAATGTAACTGTTCTGTGCAAAGAGACTACTTGTTTTTCATTGGCACAGAAGTTCCAATGGTTACGGTGTTGCTGATGCGAGGGACACGGCGAGAAACTGGTTCTACAAAATAGCTTCGATCCGTGAATTAATCCCCCGGTTTTACCTCGAAACCGCCATTTTGAAGTGCTATCGATTCTTCGCCGATGGGTACGATTCACATTGTTGTTAATATTCAATTTGCATTTTCGCCGACATTTTTTAAATCTATGGGTTGAATTGTAGTGATCTCGAATGTCGACAAGCTCTGGTGCGTTTGGCGCTGATGAATCGTGGGATTGGAGATCCGTTGGTGGCAGTTTACGCGAGAAGTTACCTGTCTAAAATTGCGACCGAGGTTCTGGCGTATAAAGGGGACAGAAAGTATCTTCTTTTGTGTATCGAAGATACCATGGCTACTTTCCCGCAAGTGAGTCGAGATGATGGAAATTAATAGCGGGCAAGAATCCCCAAATAAATGGCCGGCTCATTTGGCTACTGCAATCCTTTTTTTTTTTTTTTTTATCAAAAACTCGTTTTTTGAAAACCCCGTAATTTTTTTTAGAAGAACGTATACTTTTATGATTGAATGGCTCTAGGTATAAGTATCGTTCAATGGTTCAAAGCGCCTGCGTATTCTCCGATCCATAGTTTTTTTCTGTTAATCCGCGTTTCTTTCTTTCAGGTATTCCCCTCATTGTGCAAGGCCTATTGTCCGAGATATATTGAATTGCCGGAAACGAAAATGTTATTTCAATTCAATTTTTAAATCTGTTGATAATTATTTTTATTTAGTTATATTCACCGGAGTCGAAGAATGCCGTGATGGCGCAGAAGGTCGAGTTTTCGGCTTACTTGAATTTATACACTCCTGCGTTAGATTACATGCTGGAATGCATGGCATTGAAAGCGCACGAAAAGCTCTTCTTGGATTTGCTCGCCAAATGCAAAAACCTTGGAAACAAGGGGTGAGACATTTTTTTTTTTATGTTGACCTCTTCGTCTTCAAAATCTACTCCACTGAATTTGCGATAGAAGATGAATCTAGGAAAAAATACCGTATTTAAAACAGTTGAATGGAGGATTACCGGAATGACTGCTCTGCAATATTTGTCGTGGGCCCTTCAGACCCAGGACAAAGAAATCAGGTTCAGTGAAATAATGACACAAATAATC